TTGATCTGGTTTTGATTAGGGACATAGAATATGGACAAAAGTACAGGCTCAGGAGGTTAAAATGTAAGTGACCTCCTGCCATTATTTACATGTTTCTTGATACCTGCTCTATCATCATTATTGCTTTTTTCCCACTGTTTCCCACTTTTTCTTCAAGAAGCCCCTTCTCCCTGTCAAATCTACTCTATACATCCAACCTCTTAGAATACTTCTTTCTCTCTTGCTTTAATGAGAATAAGCCCTTCTCTCAGGTCTGTGTTTCATTTACACCCTCATAATACCTTGTTATTTTCCTTTTAGTAAAGCTCTATCTCGCTTGTAGCTCATATTATTTGACTAGAAAAGCCAAAAGCAAAAACAAAAGAAAAGAAAAGCCAAAAACACTGCCTGCTACAGTTATCTAGTAGTTCCCTTCATTCTTTCTCTTTATTCAGTATTTAGTACCTACCTCAGTTTTCCTCAATTCACACCATGAGCACTGGCCCATTCAACATTCAAACCTCAAAGTGTCTGGACCTCTTAAATCTAATGACTTGCAATTTCACTCTAATTATACCAATCACTCCCATGATCACATTGGACTTGCTAACCAATATTGGTCCACCACACAAATTCAAAATCTAACAATAACCTTCTATCTTTTCTGTGCTATTACTTATTATTCTTTCCTCATTGAATCTCTAGTTACTGAAATGTTAAACTCTTTCTAAAACTACCAACTTCATCTGTCTTCTCTTCTTTTCCTAAAGAGGTCAGATTCCATGGTAGCCTATCGCTTCAATTACTGACTTACCAAGAATATTGCAATCATTACTGAGACTACAGTAATTTTATTTCCCCTGTTCTTGCCTGATATGCTAAATACTACCAGAGGGAAAAAAATCATGCAATCAGAATGATTAAGTCCAACTTCAACTAAATCCTCAGTGCTCCCTGGCAATAACTGCTTTATTTTGCATCCACTAGAGTGATTATTTTAAGCCTTTGCCTATTTTCCTCAAGTCCTTTACCCTAGTTTTTCCCCCTATCCCCCGCTCAATCTCTCTCTCATAAAGAATGTATTTGTATTCTCTAACCTGGTTTCTTAAGTCTGTTTGAGAGAACAAAGACATTTCCCCACTCTCTTGTCCTTATAATAAAAAGTCAGTGTTTCACAACCTCAGAATATTCACTTCAATACCACTCCTTTTTCCAAGAAGTGTGGTAGTTTAAATAGCATATGAGGAAAAAAAAAAAAAAACCTTTGATTTCTCCGAGCCTCAAAAAGCCCTGTAGGACTTCTTGGAAAAGAGATACTGCTGGGAGCCAGACTGGGATCAAGAGGATCAGAAGTGAAACATTTAACCCTTTAATACTCAGAACACACAAAAGCTAACTCAGCCTACTGTTCTACATACTCAGTGGAGAATAAAGGTAATTGGAATAGAAATTTCCCAGCTTACTCTTCCCAATAAAATTTATAAGAGAAAAGTTTCTTCAACCCTTAGTTGCAACTCTGAATGGCATAAATAGTAATTGAAAGCCAATATCTGTTTCTAACCTTTGAAGGGATGGAAACAACTGCCTTTTAAAACCCTTACTAAACACATGGCTTAATGGGTAGCCACTGGAATTATTTTTCTTCTCTTTAAAAAAAGAACTCACTAGGGAGTGAGGATGTGACTCAGTGGTAGAGCACATGTTTAGTATGTACAAAGACTTGGGTTTTATCCCCAACACACAAAAAAAGAATCATTAGAATATTCCTTCAATGCTTCTATTACATTCTAAATAGTACATTTATATGTAAATTAAACTTATTTCAATGGGTACACATTTGCACTAGGCATTGAGCCCAACCAGCTTCAGGCTAGTCAGCCCACATGAGCTTAACAGTTGTTAAAATGAAAGGGGAGGATGTAGGCTTCAGAGCAGAAACAGAGAATAAGAAATATTGGGGGAAATTCCTAGAGGGGGGCTATGCTCTATATTAATAACTGGCTCTTCTTGATCAGGAGAGGTGTAGGAGGCTTCTTGATATTACCTGGTTTCTATAGGCTACACAAGGATGACCCATCTTGGGAAGTTAGGTCTTACCTTCTTGGGGCAAGACAGTAAAAAGGGTCTCCATGCCATCATGGACATGGTCAGCCACATGGCAGTGTATTAGCCATGTCCCAGAGTTGCTGGCCACCATCTCCACAACCTCAAAGGTCCCTGGAAATAGATCCACCACATCTGCCCTGTAGGTCTGTCCATTCTGCAAGATATTTTGGGGATAAGGTAGAGGAAGTGAAGCACATAGCAACCATTTTATAGCTTTATAGGAACTGAAAATCTATGATGCCCATTCAGGGACATGGGATTCCTAGGCCAGAGACTGAGTTTAAGCATCCACTTTCTCATTTCTCCTAAATCCTATCCACATTAATTAAATCAATAGACGATGACACTTTCCCACTGTTTCTTAAAGTTTTCCAGAGTAAAAGACATTCTAGATTCCATTAGGGGGCTCCAAATTAGTATCTCCATATCTTTTCACACGTTGAAATCTGAATAATTTGGCTTAAGCCTTTACCTCTAGGAAGGAACACATATTTCCTTAGAAATTAATTCAACTTAATTTTTCTTCTTTGCCAATACCCAAGTCTCTATCTACACTTCAACTCTGTGTTCTTTTCCTAAGGCTACACATTCTTCAAAATCTACCTATTGTTTCATGTAGCTCCTTGAATTGAAATTCCTTTTACAATGGACATTACAATTTTAGATATTCTGGGATGTCACTCTGAAATTCCTTGCTCTTAGAATCACTGCTCATAGAGCCTCAAATTCTTGATGGAGACAATAATGTTGATTCCTTCAATCTCCTTACCACATAAATGAGCCATTCTCTTCCATGTTAGAAGAGGAAGCCAAGACTGAGAGGGAAGTGACTGACCTTGGTATATATAGCCAGGCTAGAAATCCCAGGTCAATTCTCCATATACTAGACAGCTATTCTAATTCTTTGCTATTCCTTTCTTCTTTCATGATTACTGGTACTCCTTTGATTAACCCTAAAGGGACTCAAGCCTCTTTCCATCTTACCTGATAGAGGAAGCTTTCAGCATGGAAATGGACAGTGTGTAGATCGACATCTTGGCCCATGGCCAGCATGTACCAGGCCACTCGTTCTCCTTGGTACATGGTAAGACCCCTGAGGTTGGCATAGAGTTTCCCATTGATGGCTGTGAAAGAAGAAAATATCTCTTGCATCTCTCCCTTTGATTTACCTTTGCAACTACCCTAGGTCTGGTCCCTAACATCACTGATGATAATAATAGGCTCCTAAATTGCCTCATTCCTATTCCATTTATCTTTCTTCAGTTTATCTTTCATATGGATGTTACCAGAGTTATCTCTTTGAATAACTAATTTGACCAGGTCATCCTGCCACTTAAACTGTTTAAATAGATCCCTTCTCCAAGTCCTTGATTCCATAGCTCAGCCAATGAGGTCCTTCAAAATGTAGCCACAGACCACTTTCCCAGAACTACCTCTCACTACTCAACACATATATTCCAATTAGAATTATTTCACCATCTCCAAAATATTCCATGTGTATTCTTTATATCTTTTTGCATTTAAACTTCCTCCCAGAAATCTTGCCTCTTTTGTCCATCTTTTTATAGCCCAATCAAATCTTCCCCTCCCCTAAGTAAACTTTCTTGATCTACTGCACTTTCTCGATCTACTACCTCTCCTCCATATCCTTCATTCCTTACAGTTTTTTACACCTCTGAGCTCCTCCATACTATAAGCACAAATTATTGGAACATAACAAAAACTGCCTTCTAAGTTTAGCTGTCATTTAAAATATAGGAGTTCATATACCCAACTGAGCAGAAAATATATATAGTACTATAGCTTCCTTGTATTTTTTCACAACAACCAACAGACACCTAACCCTACAATAAACATTTTTTTAAAAGTCACTTTCATATAATTAATGTTATTGATGCATAAGCATCACCATCTTTCTCTTCCTAGGATGCATCCTGTCTTCCAAAGACACCAAAGTACTTATTTCTATTTTAATTCACACTGGCAGGACTCTGACCAGAACAATTTCCTCCCACTGCTTATGTTCTCACAGAGGCAAGGTAATTTCTACTTTATTCCTCAAGAAGAGAAATAATGTAAGGTACATTTATAGCTTCCTCTTTGACTACCTCCACTTAATCATGAATTTGGCAGAATAAACTAAACATGTTCAATTCAGCCCCTTCTGGATCTTTTCACTTTCTGATAATTCTATTCACAGAATAGGATGTGAACTGATAGACTATTTCACTGTGGTTAAGACTGCTTGTGTCAAGGGAAGAGATATTGTCTATCTAAATCAATGACAAAGTAGAAATCTATTACAAAGGAGAATCAGCAATAACATTTAGTTGCAGAATTAAATTCAGCTTTTCAATTAGCCTTTCCAGTGATAAAGCTCACATTTGATCATAAGCATCTCTCCCAGTTTAAGAATCAGGAAGGAAAGGGAAGAATGTTATTTATTTGCCCCCTATACCCCCAAATTATTTATCTTTATATCTGTAGTGCTAGCATTCAGAAACTGCTCAAAAATACATGTTGGATGGATAGTAGGTAGACTGAAACCTAAAAAGTTTGGTTGAATGGATGCATAAACAAAAAGATGAATGTGGGTATTAGTCAAACTCCTGCATTAGAAGGACCTAACTCTGCCCACATTCCATTTTGTCCATTTATTTCTCTCATTTGACAGAAACCAGAAAGTGCACTTTGTGAATCATCTGTTCTAATGTGAATCACTCATCTCTCCATCCAGAGGAAATAGCTAAAATCTGTGGGACAATGAAAGACTACTTCTGGGTTCCATTAGAGTCATTATCAAAGCTGCACCTCATTCTCAGATCAAAGAACTCTCAAACTAGAAGAGGTTATGAGAGATCACTTCATACATTCCACTGCACTTAAGTGCTCCTTCTTATTTGAGACTTTCACTTCTTTTTGAAAGGCTACCCAGATCGGTAGAGCAAAGGGCACTTTTGATGCACAATTTCTCCGTAAATATATTTAAGAATCAAAATATTCTTCCTGTATCTGACATAAAGCCACTATGCTACTTCATGAGCTCTTCTTCAATTATTCATTTGTATGTTTATCTTTTTTATGTATGTGGTGCTGGAGATTTAACCTAGGACCTCACATATGCTTGGCAATTGCTCCACCACTGTGCTACAGTCCAGCCCCAATTATCCCACCTGTTAATTGAAATGTCATTTTAAAAACAGACAAGCTGTCTTTAATCTCTTGAGTAAGCACATCCCATATTAAGAATGGTAATGAAATGACATAATATGAAAGACTGAACTCAGAATTTTAAAACAAAGATATATAGAACAATATAAATTTCCATTTGCCTTCTCCAATATGTTAAAAATTTGTGTCACCATGGCAACATTAGAGAGGTAGCATATTGGCTTTTGAGCACCTAATCTAATCTGGACCACATATCTGCTTTGTGTTTACAAATATACAATAATAAGGATATTTCTGATTTATCCTTATTCTACTTCCAACCTTCCCAAAATTTCCAGAATTATGTTCCTAAGTAGTAATGGATCTATCAGACACTCTCATTCAACCAACCAGTGAAGACTTCTTTGAAAAGGGAGTAGATTCTTTTCTACATACCATGCATTTTATTGCTCTCCAAGAAAGTCTTACTCTGTAGGTTAACAAATCCTGGTTCTTGGGGCCCATAGGTCGCCACATTCTCCTCTAGATACCAAGACTGGTTCTCATCAAAGATCATAAATAACAAGGCAAATTCCCGATCCACGTCACTTCGTTTTCCATGGGACTCAAGGGTGCCTTTTCGGCAGATAACCAAGGGCCCTACTAGGCCACTGTACAAGTCCTGAAGAAAGAAAGAAGAAGGAAAGAGAGAAAGATGGAATTGTCCTTGTGTTCCACAAGGACTCCACAAGGAATCAAATCATTATGCCCCTCAGCACCTCATCATAATGTCTTACATTTATAAGTACCCTACTATTGTATGTTATTTGAATAATCTAATCTGGACCACATATCTGCTATGTGTTTATGAATGTATAATAATAAGGATACTTCTGATTTATCCTTATTCTACTTCCAACCTTCCCAAAATTTCCAGAATTAGCTTCCTAAGTAGTAATGGATCTCTCAGGCATCCTCATTTAACCAACCAGTTTCCTCTGCCTACAAGCCCTCCTATCCTCTACTTCCCTTATCTAATGGCTTTCAAGGCTTGAGTACGTGTAGCTTCCATTGTGATAAATTCTTGACTTTCTTCTTGTTCAACTAGTCCAAATACTTTGAAAGTGGAAATGTATTTTAACATTTTTATCCTCCAAAGCATCAAGTAAAATGCCTAAAATGTAGTAGGCAATAAATGATTGCTTTGGGGATTGGGTAAAAATGAAGAATCAAGATATATTATGTATAGGTATAAATTCTGTATGATGAATGTGATCATTATGTATCTCTTAAAGTGTACTAATACAATTAATTAAAAATTTAAAATAGATTATGAATTAATTTCTGCTGTAGTAAAAATTTGATTGCTGATGGCTTACTATGAATGATTGGCAAGATAGTTAAACCCATTTTTCAGATAAGGAAGCAGAGGCATACTGACTTTTTAAAAGTTATTCCAGGGCCGGGGATTTCACTTAGTGGTTCCGCTGCCTGATTCTCCAGTGCAAGGACCCTAGTTTGATCCCCATTACCAAAACATAAAATAAAATAAAAAATGAAATGAAATATCATTCCAAAGAGAAGTTAGAGCCAAATCTGGTACTAGAACCCCAATCTTGTGATAACCATTCTCAAGGTTTTTTGAATGACAGGATATTATCCTATGAGACCCCAAAAGAAGAAACAAAGAAGAAAAATTTCAGAAGAAATATTTGGTGCTATACATTCCCTTCATTGCTCTGACTATTGAAATGAGCCTAGCATTTGAGAAATTATCCTCAAAAGACTCTAGTGTCTTAAAGCTGGGCTTCTTACTAGTTTTTTGGGGGGGCAGGTAATTTGTCTGTTTCTGAGATCCACCTCCAGATAGCCAATCTTGTCTTTACCTTGATGGGATCCACTGCAGAATAATAGATCCAGGAAACACAGGCAGAATCATTTGGTCCAGGGCCGGATCTCTCTGGAATGTTCCACTGGTAAGTAAGCACTTCACCTAGAAAGGTCAATAAGGGACCTCAAGTTGAAACAGATCAGAAATTTCTCTCAGCAACTAGGTGTCCCCTAAAGGCTATGGTGGGTGAGACACAATAACTGACATCCACACATTAAATGAGGAGAGGTTTATTGGGGGTCACAATTTGTAAAAGCTTCAGTACATAATCCACTGGCTCGAAGGCAAGGCAGCGTGGCAGAGGGGTATCACAGAAGACAAATAGCTCATGGCATGGCAGCAAGGATACAGAGAGGGATCAAGGAAGGAAGGGAGAAGAGATAGTCTTCCAGGATATAACCTTACCTCCTCTCAGCATCACATTTAGCTATAAATTTACAAGTGGACTGACCCACCCATGAGTATCATGCCTCCATGATCCAGTTACCTCTTCAAAGACCCAACTATAATCACGTGAAGTTTTGAGGGAGCATCAAGATATAAACTATAGGGGGATTCAACATGGCTGAAAAGAGGAGGAGTCACATTGGACCTACTCACAGAAAAATCACCTAAAAACACAGGTAATTGGAACAAAGTGGGGGGGGGACACACATCCTGTTGCCAAAAGCAATCTGAAATAAGGGACTAGTAGATCAAATAAAACATAAGCATGGAACTTCATTCATAAAACAGCACATCAGCCCACAGGGATACCAGCAGTGGGCAGCACCTAGAAAGAATCGCCATCCTGGGAAGTCACACAGAAAATGACGAACTAAAAAGGAGTGGCTAACTGAAACTACACAGCATAGATTTGGGAAAGAATCACTCTTGTCTCTTTAGGCATCCTCCGAATAAAGGACACTTCAGCCAGGCATCAGATTTAGTTGTTGCTGTCAAACAGAGCCAAGCAGAACTCTGCTCCCTCCCCAAGGGAGGAACCTCCAAACCTCCTCCCCCCTCTGATTTTTCTTTTCTCTGCTTTGCGCTCCAAAGTTAGGATCACTACAGCGGAGGCTGAAGTTGGGATCTGTGAGAGATAGCTGCTGACCTGTAGGGAATTTTAGGAATTTTAGCAAAGGCAATTAATCCCCTGGAGAGGAGATGGGAAATAGAGCAGAAAAGAGCAGCACAGTCCCTCCCCCAAGCACGTGGGGACAGGATAGAGAAATGCCAGTAGGGATGAAACAAAGGAGGCTGTGCCAACTGTATAGGGCACTGAGATGAGCCCTGGGCTATCCCTGTGGTGCCACAGCAACCTAAGATAAGGAGGCTTGGGTGGGCCAGAGAGACACATCCAAAAAGCTTCTGCCTGAAGGCTGAACCCAACTCTCACAAGATCAAACTCTGACAGATCTGGTGGAAATACACAGCACAGTTCTGGGACACTACCTGCGTTGGACACTACCATAGAACTGAGGACTCCAGAGGAATTTATTTTTATTTTTATTTTCCTTCTTTGTTGGTTTAATTTCCTTTTTCTGTTCATTTTTTTAAAAAAGTTTTTTACCTTTATGTTAATCTTGGTCTACTCATCCTCTTCTCTATTCTCTTGAGGTTATATTTTCATGTGAGTAAAATCATCTCTTTTCTTTCTAATCCACTTTGATGTTCTTATGCTTTATCCTTCAAGCTTTCAGTCCTGCCCTCTTCTCCAGTTACTCAGACCTTGAGTGATCATTTGTTGTCCTCCAGTCTTGCCTCTACTACATCTCCCTTCATTTATCTCTCTGTTTTGCACCCTGTCTCTCTTAAATCCCCCTCAGGGTAAAATCGCCCCACTAAGGGGTGACTCATTGCATACAAGCTCCTGGTTAATGTTGCATTGTGTTATATAACTGTAGAATTTGCTTCTGTAGTTAAAGGTACCAAATTAATAGTCACCACAATTTGTCAGTTTCTAGGCTATGCCTGAAGCTGTTGCTACGGCTAGTTGTACTACTTTAGCCAGGATGTCCTATTTGTGGTAATTAGTTGTTCTCCCCTGTATGACAACACTGAGATTGTCTGGGGCCATAACCACCACTATAGTCCAATATCAAAGGACTGAGTGCTGAGCCAAATAAATAGCATCTTTTGATCCTTAATAAATTAGGAAGCTAGGATCTTGGAACAGATACAAAGATCAATAAACATATATGTCCAGAAGACATCTCTGAAAATAGCCATTTCCTAGAAAAGCCTTTATACTAGTGATAAAGCTATCTGCTGTAAGAAAATTATAAGCATCAGTACAGAAAATACAATGAAATTTTGATTTTTTTTCTTCTTTTTTGTTACTGGGGATCAAACTTGAGTCCCTGCAATTGCAAGGCAGGCGACAGAACCACTGAGCTAAATCCAGAGCCCTAAAATGCAATTTTAAAAATAAAAAATTACAAGACAGAAGCAAAATGCAATCCCAGATCTTCAGCCCACCAAGTCCAGGAGGCAAGGAGATTGAGAAAATCAGAAATCACCTGACTTCTGAGATGATAGAAGTAGAAATAAGAAATGTGGTATTTTTTAATAAAATGGGATACTGCTCAGTCCTAAAAATTAGAAATTAGAGACATTTATAGCTAAATGGTTGCACACTGAAGCCATACTCTTAAGTGATATAAATAGGACACACATGTATAAATACCAGATAGTTTCTCTAGTGTGAGAAACTGAAAGTGTAAATAAGGACTAAAAGGTATAATAGATAATGTGAAATAGGAGGAGGAGGGACAAAGGGGCAGGGAAAATAGAAGGGGTAGGGGAAAGGAAAGAAGGGAATGGAATTAATATGAGAAAATTAAAACTAATAAAAATAAAGTTTTGTAGATAGATAGGGAGGGAAAGGTTAATGGGAGGTCAGGGGAATGGGTAAAAATAAGAACCAAATTGATTATGTAAAGGTAAAAATTTACAACAATAATATTGCATACATTAAACATACCAATAAAATTTGTTAAAAAAAAAGAAGTAAGAACACAAATACATGAGGTTATAGAGAAAATAATCTCTCGGGTCAAAAAAAAAAGGAAGTGATGATCAAAATGAAATACATGCTCCATGAAGCTGGAGTAGATATAGATTTTAAAAAGAGGAGATTAAGAAAATCATTGAAAACATGAATGTCCAACACAGGAAAGAAATGAAATTCATGAAACAGATTCAAACAGATATCGAAGAGATTAAAAATTCCATTAAAAGTATATGTAATAGAGTAAATGAAGGTGAGGACAGAATTTCTGAACTAGAAGACAGGAATGCACTTAACAACCATGAAATGAAAACTATCTTTAAAATAGCAAGGGACCATGAAATCAATCCAACACGTGCAAGATGATGTAAAGAAGAAAATGTTAAATCGATTGGGATTAATGAGAGTCAGAGATAGTGCAAAGGCCATACAAAGCCCGTTCAAAGTATTGGTAGAAAACGTCCCAAACATGGAAAAAGAATTTAATATGCAAATAAGTGAGGCATATAGAACTCCAATGAGCCATGACAAAAATGAATCTACACCAAGGCATATAATTACCAAGATTACAGAAAGAAGAAGAACAAAAGAACAAGAACCCAGAAGAATAGAACATTCAAAGCTGTTAGAGAAAACAAACAAATCATTTACAAAGGAAAGCCCATCAGAATCACAGCAAACTTCTCACCACAAACCTGTAAGTCAAGGAGAGCTTGGAGTAAAATATCCCAGGTTCTGAAAGAAAATAACTTCCAACTCAGATTGATGTACCCTTCAGAACTATCTTGCAAATTCAATGGAGAAAGAAGATACTTCTATGACAAAGAATAACTGAAGAAATTCATGTCCACTAACCCAACTCCACAAAATGCCATGAAGAGTATTTTAGAAAGAGATAATGAAGAGAAAAACTACAAGAACATTAATAGAAAGAAGCTACCTGGCAGGGAAAGCAATTAAACAGAGAGGAAAGACAAAGAAACAATAGTAGGGCAATAACATGACAAGGAAAAGCCAATATGTTTCAGATATAATCATCAATGCAAATGGGATCAACTCACCAATCAAAAGAAACAGACTGAAAGACTGGATCAAGAAACAAAATCAACAATTTACTGCATATAAGAAACACATTTAATGGGAAAATAAATTCATAGATTAAAAGTCAAGCGATGAAAAACAATACTGCATAAGACAGGAAGTCAGAAAAAAATCAGGGGTAGCTATACTATTTGTGGACAAAGTAGATTTCAAGCTGACTGATTAAGAGAGAAAAAGAAGGCCACTACATCCTTGTAAAGGGAACAATCCAAGAGGAACAGATAACAATACCAAATACCAGTGCACACAACTATGTAAAACAAGTATCAACATCAGTGGACATGAAAAATCAAATATGACCTAACATGCTTGTAATGGGGAATATCATTTCCCCATTGTCACAAATAGATCAACTTGACAAAAAATCAACAAAGAAATATCAGAACTGAACCAAACCTGTGAACAAATGGACTTAGTGGATGTGCACAGAGTGTCACACCCCACAACTTCAGAATACACATTCTTCACAGCTGCACATTTGAGTACAATCAGAAGTGGTACCCCACAAAATGAAAATATCATTAGTATACCTCACAGAACTAGAGAAAACATTCCTAACAATTGTTTGGAATTAGAAGAGACCTAGAATAGCAAAAACATTTCTTGGCAACAAAGGCAAGGCAGGGGGCATCAGCCTCTGACACAAAATTATACTACAGCGCTATTGTCATAAAAATAGCATGGTCCTGGAAAAAAAAAAACAGATCCGAAGATCATTGGAACGATTAGAAGATGCAGAAACAACTCCAAACTCACTCAGCCATCTTATCTTTGACAAAGGGGACAAACACCATCATTGGAAGAAAAATAGCCTCTTTAATAAATGCTACTGGAAAAATTGTCTTTCCACATGCTGACAACTAAACCTAGACCCATTATCTCTCATGATGTACTAAACTAAAATCAAAGTGGATCAAAGATGTAAATATTAAAACAGAACCACTAAATCTGCTGGAAGAGAGAACAGGTAGGACACTTGAGGGTATAGAGTAGGCAAAGACTTCACAAA